CGGAGCAGCGCGTGGGCCGCGAGCCCCGGAGCAGCGCGTGGGCCGCGAGCCCCGGAGCAGCGTGTTGGCCGCGAGCCCCGGAGCAGCGCGTGGGCCACGGGTCCCGGAGCAGCGCGTGGGCCGCGAGCCCCAGAGCAGTGTGTTGGCTGCGAGCCCCGGAGCAGCGCGTGGGCCACGGGTCCCGGAGCTGCGCGTGGGCCACGGGTCCCGGAGCAGCGCGTGGGCCGCGAGCCCCTGAGCAGCGCGTGGGCCACGGGTCCCGGAGCAGCGGGTGGGCCGCGAGCCCCAGAGCAGTGTGTTGGCTGCGAGCCCCGGAGCAGCGCGTGGGCCACGGGTCCCGGAGCTGCGCGTGGGCCACGGGTCCCGGAGCAGTGTGTTGGCTGCAAGCCCGGGAGCAGCGCGAGGGCTGCGAACTCCGGAGCAGCACATGGGCTGCGAACTCCGGAGCAGCCGTGAGCCAAAGGTCCTGGAGCAGCGCGTGGGCCACGGGTCCCGGAGCTGCGCGTGGGCCACGGGTCCCAGAGCAGCGCGTGGGCCACGGGTCCCGGAGCTGCGCGTGGGCCACGGGTCCCGGAGCAGTGTGTTGGCTGCAAGCCCGGGAGCAGCGCGAGGGCTGTGAACTCCAGAGCAGCACATGGGCTGCGAACTCCGGAGCAGCCGTGAGCCAAAGGTCCTGGAGCAGCGCGTGGGCCACGGGTCCCGGAGCTGCGCGTGGGCCACGGGTCCCGGAGCAGTGTGTTGGCTGCAAGCCTGGGAGCAGCGCGAGAGCTGCGAACTCCGGAGCAGCGCGAGGGCTGCGAACTCCGGAGCAGCTGTGAGCCAAAGGTCCCGGAGCAGCTTGTGGGCCACGGGTCCCAGAGCAGTGCGTGGGCCACGGGTCCCGGAGCAGCGCGTGGGCTGTGAGCCCCGGAGCAGCACGTGGGCTGCAAGCCCCGGAGCAGCATGTGGGCCACGGGTCCTGGAGCAGCGCGTGGGCTGTGAGCCCCGGAGCAGCGCATGGGCTGCAAGCCCATGAGCAGCATATGGACCATGGGTCCCAGAGCAGCGCGTGGGCTGTGAGCCCAGGAGCAGCGCGAGGGCTGCAAACTCCAGAGCAGCATGTGGGCTGGGAGCCCCGGAGCAGTGCGTGAGCGATGGAGGGGCAGTGTCCCAGAGCGACGGAGGGGCAGTGTCCCAGAGCGA